CCTTTAAGAATGACTAACTACCCTCATGGGATTTATATCTGTACTTCATATTACTTGATGACCCAGATTTTAAATTTGGTTGGACACGACCTGGTTGTATACTACAGAGACATTGTAGAAGCAAATTTCAATCTACTTTAGAACAAAGAATTTTCCATATGAGCCCTAAAAAATTTCACAAATATTAAAACCTAAGTGAACAATTCACTAACTACATGGGAGAAATGTCCCTATGAAAACAAACTAGTAGCAAAGAATAAATAGAATTAGAGTCACATAATTTAGAATTATTGGTTGTAATTCTTATGTAAAAAGAAATTAATATTGAAAACATATTAAGAAAAATCAAAACTAGCCAGGTATATTTGAAAAAAAAATCATAAAAAGAAACACAGTAATTGAAATGAGTGATACAGTGAATGGATTAAATAGCAGATTAGTCATGGCTGAATATAGGATAAATAAAATATAGAACTGAGCAATTTTCAAATAATGCAGTCCAGAGACAGAAGGAGATGGGAAGTCTGAAAGTAATACTGAAGACTGAGATAGTGTGGAAGGTCTAATATATGCTTAGTTGGTATTCTTCTAGTACAAAATGGAGAATAATACTCAGGCAGTTTTCAATAGTATTTGCCTGAGACTTCTTATGATTTAAACATTAAACTACAGTTCTAGGAACTCCAATACAGACTTTTAAAACTCCTTACTTATAACATCTTAATAAATTTACAGAATACAAAAGACAAAGAGAAAAATCTGAAAAGCATTCAGCAAGAATTAGATTGCTGAGATGGCTGATTTCTTGCCAGAAATAATGGAAGCTAGAAAACAATGGAATGGCATCTGTTGCTACCTAAAGACTTTCTGAGGGGTGCATTTATAGAGTGTTCTTCAGAGAGAGATTAATGGTCTTTTTTTTTTTAAAGATTTATTTATTTATTATACAAGAACTGGGTACAGTCAGAGGCACAGGAGGGTGAGAGAATTCACCAGAGCCAGAGCAGAGAGTAGAACAGGCAGGGTGATGAAGTACACTGCTGAGGGGAGCAGCGGGCGGCAGGAGAGGTCTGCGCGCCATGTGGGACCCTTATCCGGTGGCCAGGGATCAAACTGGTGCTGCAGAGGCTGCGGGCAGCTTCGCAATCCAGCGCTCAACCACTGTGTGCCACCGGGGAGGCCCGATTAATGGTCTTATAAGGAGGTATGAACTGAAAAGGAAATAGTTAAAGTTGTATTCATAAACTTAAACAACTATGATTTATTGTTTAAAGTAGTAAAAGAAATGGATAGTTTCTAGAGTTAAAAAATCCAACTTATGACTGTAATCATAACTCGTGTGTCAAAAGATGGGTAACCAGAGTTAAAAGAGTCTGAAGTCTATACTGTTGGAGAATTGCTGGAAAAAAAATGATGACTTTAGATTTTTTGATGTTAGGTAGTCATCATCAAATGCCTAGGGCAACCACAAAATATAGAATGTATAACATCCAAACGAGTACAGGGGAAAAGACAGAAATGAATATGACTGAATTAATAGAAGCAATCAATATAAATAGAATTGCTTTTGAATTAAATACAGTTATCCTAGTGTGGTGTTATCTGTCAATGTTATTGCAATTTTAAAAATAATACATAAAAAAAGATAGCCTGGTTAGAAAAAACCCTTCTGTTTATAAATAAGACATTCAACTAATATGAATAAAAATGTTTGAAAGTAAAGGGAGCAAAAAAGGTATAAGACTTCAATATTGACCCAAATACCTCTGCTTTAGAGCCATGGACTGTTGCTAGACATTCATAAATAATTTGTTGCACTGGGAAGATTTAATAATTCCATTCTAAATGAAATAAATGTAACATAAAAGCAAAAATCTTAATATAATGAATAAGCTGGGCATAATGGATTTACAAAGAGCAATTAAGAATATACAGCCTATCAACTGATATCAGAAAACATAACAAAATACCTGCATACATTTGAAAATTTTTAACCAGACTTCTACTGATAAATACTGTATAGGCCAAGAAATAAGGTGGAGTAGAATTACAGAAATCCTGATGCTCCAATAATATTTGTACTGATTAACAGTTTATTCAGTGAAATATGAGAACATGGACACAAAATTTAACATTTGAATAAAAGCTTGTACTATGAGGTAATATGCAATAAGGACTTAAAGAAGAATTATAGTAATTGCTAGATTCAGGGGAAATTTTGTAGTTTCATTTGGGGCTTACAAAATATTTTTTCTTCTAAAGCCCTATCAGTTTTTTTGATATGTTAAAGTGGTACAACTAAATATCAGAAAAGCAAAATTATTATAAGAACATCAAGATTAAATACAGTGTATGACAACTTAAAATTGTTATAAATATGATTATTATTTTCCAAGTAACAAATATGGAAATGTATTTGCAACAGATTTGACAGAAAGGCAAGAGAAATTTGTACAAAGGGCAAAGAAGGTTATTTATCAAGCAAGAAATAGAAATGGTTGCTTGTTGATTTTGATTTTTACTTTATTATAATTTGTCTTTTTCCTGGTCCCTTATTTAGGTTTTCTAAATTCCTGCTATGAGTAAGACCATCTGGTATTTTTCTTTCTGGCTTATTTCACTGAGCATGATCCCTTCCAGCTCCATCCATGTTCCTGCAAATTACATGAGTTTATCTTTTTTGATTGCTGAGTAATATTCCATTGTGTATGTGTACCACTATGGGCAGGGCGGGAAGAGGGAGTAGGATCAAAGCAAGGGGGTTGGGAATTGTATGGGGACTATAACCAAGATGAAAATGCATACATTGTGCAAAAATGAAAAATGATGTAAAAATATATTAAATTTAAAAAAATATGGAAACCAAAAAAAAGAACTAGAAATAGCTAATAAATATTTTAAAAAGTTGTACAACACCAAGTTCAACAAGAAGGGAATAAAAGGAAAGGAGTTTATGTCCACAGTAGTTTGTCCATATTTAATTTGTTCTATTCTTCATTTTTCCATTCAGCTTGGCTTATGGTTTCTCTTTTATTTTGCCATGAACAAAAATTAGATGTTTTGTACTAACAATTATCAATCTTACAGTTCTTTTGAGGTTTAGTCACATTACTTTGTTCTTCTTTTAACAATTTGACAATATGTTCTGTACTCTTTGATCTAGTTATTCTACTTCTTAGAATTTGTGCCAACATATAAAATTTTACACACACACACACTCACTCCAGATTGTTCTTCATAGCCTTGTTAATATTAGTGGAATACCAGGTAAATTTCTAGGAGTTGAGGCTTTGCTAAAGAACTTATGCATGTAGATATATATATGTCATTTGAAAAATTATGTGATATAATAGTAAACCTCTTAAAATGACTTATAGGGTGCTTCCCCTCAGGGCATAATTTCAGCCTAAAGCAACATTTAGCAGCCGCTGTTCCTAAAGAGAACAGTCACCACACATGGCAGGGGATTTTCATTCTGTAGTCCAGAGACGCCCCCCCCTCTTGAATCCCCCACCCGCTGCAGACTACAGACTGTATCATAAAATGTGGAGTCCCTCATTTGTACAGATTAGATTCACCCCAATTGCCTTCCAACTCCCTCAATACATTATTTTTAAATAGACAGTCCTTTGCACTTGAAACTTCAACATCATTTTTTGGGTCAGGTGAACTTATAAATTCTTTCAGCTAAAAGACTTAGTCAAGAAACGAAATTACTGTTGCAAAAAGTAACAAAATCTTTCAGGGAAACTGAAGTCTTCTTAGCTACATTTTTAAAAAGCAGTAAAAAGGTGAAAACAATTGAAATAAATTTTGACATATTTTATTAAATATTTCAATATGCAATTATTTGAAATAATTACCATTTTTTTTAATTATGGTAAAACTGATTTACAACACTGTCTATGGTTTAGGGGTGTGGGTTCATACCTTTCCTTACCACACCCAGCACCAAGTCTCCTATAATTCTCCACCATAGACCATTGGGCCCCTTTCGGCTTCACAACCTTCCTCCTTCAGTTCTACGATAACATTTCTAGGGTTGATTTTGGTTTAATTGTATCCATTCTTATTAAAACAATGTGATCTTTCCTGTTTCATTTTGTTTTCATGCAAAATCTTTGGTGTATTTAGAGCACATCCCATTTTAAAGGATAAATTTTCATTGAAGAAACAATCTATATTTAAGTTTGAAAGCTAGATTCTCCACTGTGTATTACTCAGCAATCAAAAAAGATAAACTCATGCAATTTGCAGCAACATGGATGCAGTTGGAAGGGATCATGCTCAGCAAAATAAGCCAGAAAGAAAAAGAAAAATACTGGAAGATCTCACTCATAGCAGGAATTTAGAAAACCTAAATAAGGGACCAGGAAAAAAACTAATTATAATAAAGTAAAGTAAAAATCAAAATCAACAAGCAACTATAAACCAGAAACACACTGGGGGTGGGGTAGGGTAGGAGGGATTATGGTCAAAATAAGGGGGTTGGGAATTGTATGGGGACTATAAGCAAGATGAAAATGCATACATTGTGCAAAAATGAAAAATGATGTAAAAATATATAAAATTAAAAATAATAAATAGTAAAAAAAAGCTAGATTCTCATAAATTTCCTAATACTTTGAATATGGATTTTCCCATTTAATGAAGTTAAAGAACTGAGTTCCCAACAGCCACATTTTAAATTCTGAATAACCACTTCAGACTGGTGGTTACCATATCAGGCAGGGGATGTTTAGAGAATACAAAGAAATACCCAGTTGATTTCAGTCTTCAAGGCATTCTAATTGGAAACCCATGGTATCATAAAAATAAACATCAAGAATATAAATCAAAACAGAACATAGTGAAATGCTAAAAGTTTGAAGTAGACTAAGTGCTATTGAGTAGGAAGTTCCAGAAACACCCACAGCTTGATACACACTTCCCCGCCTGGAAATTCGAGTGGTGGCAGTGACCTGTTGAGTTTGTGAGAAGTGTGTGTGATCTCCCTGCAGGCACGGGACGCGCTGTGCTGGAGAAGTGGCGGCGGCAGCGAACAACTCGCACTGCACAGTTGGAATTGCTTTCAACGCCAAGATCGGAGGTATGGGGAACAAACTTATGTGAATTTCGAAATAAGCCAGGAGCTCTTGTGCCGACCAGCTTTCAGAACCCCTTTTTTAAACTAAAGACAGGCCGAGGTTGGCATAATAGTGTTCAACTATAGCTGATTGCAAAATGACCATGTTAACATGTGTTATTTAATACACTCAAAGGCTTCTGAAGCTGTACCCCTAAAATGCTATAAATGCACACATTTCTTTCTTTAAACAGATATAAAAAGTCTTGTCCAGTCATGAACAGGGGGTTGGTGGCATCTGTACCAAACTGTACAATGGGTGCCTAGATCAGAAAGACAAATAATATAAACACCAGTCTGTAATGTCAATGGAACAGAACATTTTGAAATTCTATTAGTAGAAATAAATTTCCTTTTTGTCTTAGGCTTTACAAAACTTTCCTTTTGACTGCAATGAAAATGGTGTTCGGTAAAATTTCCTTTTGTAGTTTCCTGATATACTATTACCATTAATAATTTCAGATCATATATGGGCATGCACACACATGTACAAACTGTCGATCCAGGTGTTCCTGGAAAGAAACTCTTTCCCATCTGTAATCCTCCCTGTTAACTGTAGCCTGGTTTCACAGCCACACATAAATGGGGAGAAAACATTGTAAGTGATGGTATAGAGCCCAGGGGCCAAATGCAATATATCTGAGGATCCTTTGGGGAAATACTGGATGTTTATCTACATTATGTATTTATTTATTTAAAAAAAAAAGTATGTCATGTCATGTATATAGTGTCACGTAATTTAAAATGTCTCAGCCTAATATTTATATTTTTAGATAAAGAAGAAAATATGGCAAAATGTTAACAGTCGTTGAGTACAGGCCGTATCAGAGTTCACTGTCATTCTCTTTATTTTCGTATGTTTAGGACATTTCACCATTAAAATTTAAATTTTTTCAACACATAAAGAAGTTCCTTCAAGATTTATTTTCTATCTAAATTCTTTCCTTAAAACCACGTAGTATCTAAAGCTGCCTGATTTGGGGTTTTATTATTTAATCGCCATTTAATGATAAACCTATAAAAACTTGAAATCCAATGAGATAACAAAGTTTCCCTATATTGTAAATTTGGGCTATAAAGATATAATTTTGAAGTAGTACAACGTCTAAGCTGAAACTGAAGGAGAGAGATGTTTACTTAGTAATTGTTTTGTTGTTATTGTAAGTTTCCAAAACAAAGGAAAAGCCTGCCATGTGACATAATTTATTCTTAATATCTTAGTATCTTAATTTTTGCAAACTAAGGTTAATAATAAATTCCTATCTGTCTGGTGGGAATATACTTAAATGAAGATTAATGACTAAACATTGCTAAAACCCTTTGAGAATGATTTGATGTGTAACATGCACAGAGTATTCTCATTTATTATTTCACTTATAAATAACTTGGCAAAGAAGTAGTATATTAAGTTCAAATCAGTCTCACAGATTAGGAGATAATATTAAATATGGAGGAAATTAGACCAACCTAACTTGGCAGCTTTCCAAATCTTGTAAGCTTGCTCAGGTCAGAATGTTTTATGCCAATTATGAACACAAGTTATATAATGAAGAGAAATTTAGGGAAGATGGATTGCTTAAGGCTCTCTTTATCAAGTACTCACTTAAGCAGGGATAAAGACAAGGGAGAGAGTGTGCAGTTAGAAAAAAGAAATAATGGATAAAAAAGACTTTAAAGAAGCATTGTTCTTTTACATGCAACAAAGCTTCATTTTTCCCATGCAAGTTTTGCTTTCTGTGGAAAACAGGCTCACTTTTGTGTTGATTAAAGGTTGTTCTTTTAATCATCTGTAACTGGACTATATCCTGGGCTGCTTGGAGTTACATAGCAAAACCTTGGTAATCAAGCTGCTTCCTCTTTCTGTCTTGAAGGGGTTCGAATGCTGGATGGAGATGTCACAGACATGGTTGAAGCCAAATCGGTTAGCTTTAATCCTCAGCACGTGCATATTTATAGTGCGAGCTGGGGCCCGGATGATGATGGCAAGACTGTGGATGGACCCGCTCCACTCACCCGGCAAGCCTTTGAAAATGGCGTGAGAATGGTAGGTTTTAGAAGCACCTTGGCTCATACTTTGTCAATCAGTGATGATTCTCACATGAAGGCATCTCTGAAACTATGGATTTCCTGTCCTCCAGTAGAGAGGAATGGATGGAACCTGTAGGCTGATCCAGGAGCTAGGATGATGGAAAGAGGTGCTGAATATTTGAGATTGTATCTTGTGTTTGATATGCAAATGAGCTAAGAGCTAGAATGTTTCCCCTTTGAGGACAGAGGTACATTTAGGTTTATTCAAAGGAAATATATTCATTAATATATTAATGTTGCATTTTGGAGAAATGAATTCTTAGAGATGGAATTGAAGAGAAACGGAGGTATTGAAATTCTTTATGTCATCCAGCAACTCCCTCTGGGCATGTCCCTTTTGTAGTTCCTTCTTTAATTTCACTTTTGTCTCAGGACAATATTATTTTTATTATGGCTCCCAAGTTCCCTAATCACTTTAACACATCATTATTTTCCTTAATATCACTGAAAAATTTACTAAATACTCCTTTCTTCAGAACTCATTGCATAATCTAATGCACTAAAATGTCTGCTTTAAATTATTATCTTTTAAACAATCTGTCTTATTTAAATGGAAAAAAAATCGACATATATTTGTAGTCATGAAAGGAAGAGAGCTCTAATCAGAAGCAATTCCTTTCTCTTGTGAATGGACCATTGGGTGATTGAAAGCATACATTTTAATTTTGTTCGTTTAAGGCCTTCATTGATCTAGGCTCAACCTCTCTTTCCTCATCTCTTTTTACTTTTTGTAACATAAGTGGGCATACTCTACTCTTACTCTCCATCATCGCATACCACTTTCCATCATGGACTCTGCCTGATTCTTATGTCGTATTGCTATACAGCCATATCTCATTTAACCTTTAAGGTTAAGCTAACATGTGACCTCTCCCCAAAAGGCATCTCACTACATAAACTAGAATTAAGTATATATAATCCCCACCCTGTACTTGCTGAAGTTTATATTCTTGCTGGTGATATGTATAGTCTTTAGCATATTGTGCTTTCTGTCAGATTTTGTTTTGTGTATATCTTCCTCACTAAATTATAACTTCCCAGGAAGTAGAGCTTGTGTTCAACCCACCTTAATGGGCTTTGCAAATACCATAGAGTACCTTGAGCTCTAGTGAGTACTCAATGTTTATTGGCTTTAATTTAATTTATTGAGAATTATTCTCTCCTCAGGTTGCTATATATTCAGCCTGAATTTGAAGCTGAGGAAAGCATGCAGTTGATTAATGTAATGTTACAGCTGGAGTATAAATAATAATGATTCTTCCATCTTGGTGGGATTTAATCAGAAGACTAAGCTAAGCTGTCTCCTGGTTATTCCAAAAGAGACTGGAGGAAAAAATGTGTGCAGTTGTTATGTATGTACTTCTAACTAATACTGTTCAGGTTTTGTTAAGACATAATTTCTAGCTCTGTGTACTTTCAGCTACATTAGAACCCTGTTAAGCAGTTGGATAATATTTGAAATTGCTGTCTAGAATTTCTTTCAAGGTGACTGAACACCAAATTAATGTATCTAAGTAATCTGGTAATTAATTGCCAAAACCCTGGATTGCAGATTACTATTATCTCTGAATGGTCATTCCAGTTAAGTAAATCAAGCTTAGTTCATATTTAATTTTCAATTTGTATGTGTATGGCTCTTAGTATAATAAAAAGCAATCTGGAATTCTCATTCATATAATAAATTTATATTAGTAATACACACAGACAGCAATATATATGTAGCTAGAGAATGGCCCATGTTCAAAAACTGTCATTAAATCAAATAATACGGACCAATGGTTTTCAAATTTATTTTTGATAATGGACACCTTAACTAGAAGGTCAAGGAATAAAACAAATATAAAATGTGATACTTTGGTTGAGGGAAAAAATGGTGATTAATATTAAAAATAAGGTCGTCTGAGAAAGTATTCCATCTTAGAGGAAGATTTAATTTAGAAATAAATAATTCACAAAAAATTATACCCAATAATTATAAAATAACCTATGCTTATTCCTATAAATCATACTCTAAAAATGAAATTAAAAATAGACTTCCCACCCAACTAGATATCCATTATCAATAGTGTGGGCTACATCTTCCAAGACTCCCATGCATATCCTCTTCTTGGTGATGTTTTTACCTAACGGTGGACATCCATTCAGGGCAGTCCTTTTGGATGGAATTCATTTATTTTAATATCCCAAAATTTTTGGGGTAAGGAGATGGTGTCATTCATTCAACATTCCATTGAGAATCTTTCAAGGTTTTGAACTGGAAAAAAAGGGAATTTAGTTTTAAAACAACCATTTACTTTTAGAATGAAGGTAGTAACAAATAATTCTGTAAAAGAGCCAACTATTCTATGACTGCTAACATCGTGTTATATACACTTAAGGAAAAGCAGTGGTGACCCATTTAAGCATGAGATCAACCAGAGAGGGGATTTATATGTGATACTCATAGACATCTGCCCTAGGCTATGGTTGAGTTCAGGATCTGTCATTTACTGCTCCCTGACTTGATATAGATCAAAGTACGCTGTCCTTCTACTGCCTCATCTAAGATCGGGCAATACTATACTTACTGAAGAAATATAGAGAGTGTTTTAAATTAGATGATTATGCAAATAAATCAATTGGCACAATACCTGGAACTTAAGTGCTGAAGAATTGCGTTTTATAGGTATATATTTTTTTCAGAGTAAAGGTTGTGTCTTTCAAAAATCTTTATATCTTATCTCAGTGCCCCATCACTCTCTCCTGTACCATTTCCATACCACAGAACTCCAGATAATTCCATTATGTTACCTGTACTGGTAGCTGAAAAATAACATGGTAAACATGAGCGTTGACTTTCTCAGTTCTGTAATGTTATTTAGCTTGTTCATCTTTTACTTGCTTCAGTTTTACTTGCCTTTAAAAGCACATCTTCTATTCCATCAAGATAACCTCTCAATGCACAATTCATTTTAGTTATTCTTGTTTGTAGCCTTGAGTTTGTATTTTTACAGGGAATGCTTCTCTAAATTACTATGAAATTGCAGTAATTTAATATTTTAAAAGCAGTTTATTAGACCCTTTCACTCTTCTGTTAATAGTCATCAAATGGGACAGTAAATTTTATTTGAGATTATTCTGATTTTTGTTCTTTAATTAAAACACTTTGCCAAACATATAGAAATTAATTGGATAAATACTTTATACAAAGTTAGTGTATAGTAAAAAATAAATAAATGGCTAGTTAAGTGATTTCAGAAACAAATGACTGGTAAAATAATTCCTTCATGTAGCTCTGTGAAAAATTATGCAACAACAAAGTTTTCAGGCTGACTATGATTTTAATTACATAATATACAAGAATAAAGGAATCAGAATTTATTCTTCCTATAAAATTTAGTAAACCCTTAAATTTCTCTGCACTGTAGATTAAGAAGTAAAGAAGATAGCTAAGTTTATTTGTAATACAAAAAACGTCTACATTCTAGCAACAAGACAGAAAACAAACAAGCACAGAGACAATTAGGATTCTTTGAGCTAAGGGTGTTATGAGTGAAATAAAACTGATGACTGATGACTGAGGGTGACAGGGAGCTCTTGAAGAGGTGCTGTGAGAATGGAGACATTCATAATAAGAGGTCAGTCTTATGAGGAAATGTGGAAGGAATGCTCTTTGTAGAAGGAACAGCAAAAGCAGAGCACCCCATGTGGCGTGATTTGGGTGTACACCCGCAAAAGGATGCTGTTTTGCACATTAGGACTAATACAAACAGAAAGAGGGCTTTAGGCAGTGAGTTGGGGATGGGTTTTCTCAACCAGGAGAGTATTTGCATTTTATTCTGTCACAGATAACTATTGGAAGTTTTCAGGAGACCAGTGTCCTGATGGGACACACAATTATAGCAGACTCTCCTGTGTAGAGACTGGACTGCGTGTGAGGCAAGGGATGGGAAATCAAGAATGGAAGGAATGACTCAGGCAAGAGTTAATAATGAGTTAGAATAAGGTGGCCACAACTAGAGATTGGTAGCAAGTACAGTCTAGCACCAACGATTTTCTTGGAGGAAATAAGTAAATTTTGCTCAGGGAGTCCAGGTATTGATTGCATCCATTCCTTCTGTTTGCTAATCAAAAAAAAACAAAAAAAAACAAACAAACAAAAAAACCAAAAAAACACCGTAGCAAATATTGGATTTCAAAATGCACCCTCTTTGTTTACTATAAGATAAACATTTGGTTCTGTAGAATGTAACACTGTTTTCAAAGACTTTAACAAAATCAGAATTGATTCCATTTATAACCCCTTTAGAATTAATGTGCAAAAATTGCAGTAGAGGATCTATGTTGAACAAACCATGTCACAATTGACAACTTGCTCTCTCTCCCCAATGTTGCATTTTATTTGATGCCAATGAGCCATAAAATTAAATGAAAGAACTAGAGGTCTATCATTTGGGCTGCATACAGTTAATAGTAGAATAGTAGTAGTAGTAATGCAACACCATTGATATATTCCAGTTACCCTGCTGAGCCATAAAATAGATAATTTTTAGTCTTAACAATAATCTCATAAGATAGATACTCTTCTCCCCAGTTTCACATAAAATTGATATTCAGCATGGCTAAAGAAGTCAGAGTATAAGCCTCAAAGTAATCTTAATAAATTATTTTGTGTGCTGTCAATCCTATTTTATTTGGCCCATTTCACCACCTGTGTTTAACTGTGACTGCATACTCTAGTTCTACTCCTGTTATGATGGGGAATTGTTTGTCTTCTACCTAAGGCCCTCTCTTACACTTTTTACTGAACCTGATCACTTCTCACCTCATCAAAGACATGGCTCCATCAAGTCTCTTTTCCTTCAACATCAAAATCTCCCTCTCAACTATATGTTTGCCATCCATATACATTCATACATTTTAATTCTTTTATCTCAGAAGAGAGGGAAAGCCTCCTCAGCTCCTTATCTCTTTTCA